AAGTAACCCGGCCGGACAACCCCAGAATTGGCCTCCGCCTGGCATTTAGTTTGCACTAGGGCAATAAAAACAAAGGGGAGACACCGTGAGCCCTGCGGGCCCTTCTTCCGCCTGGCAGCCTCGGCGGGAGGTTTTATCCAGAAGCAGCTAAATTAAACATAAAAGGAGAACAAGCCCCACCTCGGTGACCTTTCTAAAGCTCTTGGGCTAGCCAAGGAGCGAGGATTTGGTGTGGTGCTACGGCTTTTCGGACATTTGCTCATCCCAAATTCCCTGCGGGCAGCGGCTCCGTGATGTCCTAAAGGCCACCAACCAGAGGCTCCCCATGGGACGAAGAGGTCCACGACCGGTCAGGGGACGGAGGGGTTGGTTGCCTTTGGGCTGCCCCGTGCTGGCACCTCCTGGGGGGGGTGGTTGCTCCCGAAGAGCCAGTCCCAACCCTCCCCAGCTCAGCAGCCCCCATCCCTGATACCTTTCTCCGCCGGGATCGCCTTACGGTCCTCCGGCTTGGGGTTCTTGGCCATTTCAAACAGCAGCCACTTGTGCATCCAGGATTCAAAGGACTGCAACAAGGGGAACCGGCATGTTAACCGGGACAGGGGTGGTGCACGGCGGGGGAGCCGTGCCCCAAGCGAGCTCCAGCCTGGGCCAGGGAAGGTCGTGAGCACCACCACCTCCCTTGGGGTGGAGGTAACTCAAGCCTGGCTCAAGTAGGACTTTGTTTTTCCAGGTGGGGACACCCCAGTCCCTCCCCAAAGCGGGGTGCTCCTGGAAGGGGAGGAGTAGGACGGCAGCAAGCACTGACCTTCCAGTCTACATCAGTCATGGTGTTCTTCAGGCTTTTCAGGTTGTCCATCAGGTTGTCCTTCAGTTCCGGGAACATCTTCCTGGGGTCTGCTTGCTGCAGAGCAACCACCATGGTGAGACAGGGCAAAGAAAAACGAGGGGTGTGGGGGGGTGAAGCTCTGCTTATATCAGCCAGACGGACATTGGAGGAGGCCAGGAGCTCCCACCAGCTCTGAGCCCCCCCACAGCCCCCAGGCCCAGCCACGAGACGGCTTGAAGCTGGAAGCAGAGGGTCCCAGCGCCTCCCGCAGCGCAGGGGGCAGCTATGGGGCCCGTGCGAGTAGCAGGGGACCTTACCAGCAGCAGGTGCTTCACTTGGTCCTCGGTTTTGTTGCTAGCGGGGGCCGTGTCCTCAAGAGAAAAGACAAAGAAGCAGCGTGAGCATGAGGGCTGGCGGGCAAGCCCCGAGGGCTGCAGGCAGCGCCGGGCAGCGCCGGGCATCTCTTACCATGTCGCCTGCAGAGTGGTCAAGAGGCAGGGCCTGCATGGCCCGGGGCATGCTCATCATGGCAATCTTCATCTTGCTCACCGGCTTTGGCCCCCCCCGGGGAGGAACGGGGGGGCAGGC